GCCAGAGGGTTTTCATGATGGAGGAAATTGTCTTGATAAAAGGAAGAGCGACCCTGGATGGCCCCCTCGGTGACAAAATGTCCACCACAGGATCTGCATTCTTCAATGGTGTTCTTCTACTTGCAGACCCAAACTCTGAGCCGTGTACCTCAATAGCTCTTGATGTGGCCTCTTGTCCATAAGAGATAGCGATGTCACCGACCCTGCTACTGCCTCATCCGGTAACAACGAGGATGAGGGATCCTGCAGCTCCCCTTCTTTCTGCTCATCATCCGGTATCAGGACTGGAACTTAAGGTATATGCCTGTGGTCACTAGCATTGGAGTTCTGAGACATGGGCAGCACCTGGTGCCACTGATCCTCCCTGGAACGGGAAGCTAATGCCTGCCCTGACTTTGGGTTCAGTACCCAGTGGGACTCCACCAGTGCCCTGAACAGCCGCGTACCAGGTATCTGCAACCTTGACATTGTGTGCTGGGACAACCATACTCCAATAGCAGGGTCTCTCCCTAAGGCCGCTGAAGAAGTGCCTCTGCTGACAGAGGGCACTGAGAGGGACCTTAGACCCACCCGCTTGCATCTGGTGACAGGCCCAAGGAGTCCAGAAAGGCCATTGCAAGGCCAGCTCCTGCCTCCTCTCTGGTTGAACCTGTGTCGAATAGAGCCACCTCTTGGACCAGCGGCCCTTTGGTTCTGACTCCGATGAGGATATGGAATGCAGGGACCAAGGGAGAGCAGTATCGCGCCACACCGACGGCTTCTGTGATGGCGTGAGGTCACCAGAAGGATTCTGCCTTGTAGAGGAACCTTCCCGGGACTAGTGTCAAAGTGAATAGTCTCTGCTGAGTGAATGGCGTTGCCTGAGAGGACTCCACCTTGAACAGGAGCCCTCCCCGGAATGGTGCAGAGATTGTCGGTCCCGGCTCTGTGACCAGTGCCATCTGGGAGGACTCCGCCTTGTACAGGAGACCTCACCAGACCGGTGCCAAGGTTAATGGTATTGAGTTGGTAAACGGTCCTGAGATGAAAGCGACCTTCTTAACATGGGAAGCTTCCCTCTTGACTACAACAGGCCCAGTATTGGCGACAGTGCCAGAGGAGAGTCCCTTAGTAATACTGTTTGCTCAATCAGGTCCTGGGCATATATCATACATTTCAGGAACATGTCTACATCTCCCATTTGACTCTACCGGGACGGGGAGTTCACCTGCACCAGACTTGACCGGACCAGCAGAGGTGCCAGAGTCAACAGTGCTGCATGGATGGGCTGTTTCCAAGGGTGTTCTGACTCTGTACGAGACTTTTTATGCTTTTTAGCTTTTGAAATGAGGGACCAGCTCCTCTACCACCCAACTCTTCCCCTGCCATGAACTTGCCTTCGGTGAACATTTAGTGCCAGGACTTCATGTGGAGCTGGCATGCTCTGCACTGATGACAGCGCACTGAGGCCGCTGAATCCCGTCCCACAGCCTGTGGTGCTGGATGAGCATCCAGGGAAGCCTCCATTAAGAGATTTGGGAGGCGAAACTCTGTCCCTTTGCATTCTTGAAGTAAAGGCCCTGCAGATCTTGCACTTATATGCTAAGTGGGCACTCCCAAGCACTTAAGACAGACGTCACGTAGATCACCCATAGGGATTACCATCCCTGCACTGTCTGCACCACTTGAAGCCAGGGAGCGGAGGCACGCCCTTCCTCACCCCACAACAAACATAACACTTACCTAACAACTACTTAACACTAGAAAGAACTATCTACAATACAAGCTAGGGAAGGCATACTTGCCTGAGGCACGGGCGGTAAGAAGGAAATAGAAGAGGGGGCGGTTGGCAGCCATACTTGCAC